GAGTTTTTGGCCTTGATGTTTACTTCTGTTTGACTGGTCCCACTTACATGTACACACACATTATATATATATATATACATCATAAATATCCAGTACATATACTCAATATAAATGTTTACACACATATACACACATGCAGAAACATATTTTCGTTTATATATAATAATGTTAATGTAGGCACAAAGTTTATCGTTTATGATTGTACAAAATAAACAGTAATGAGAATGAAAAATTTGGGGATTTTTTGTTTAGTTTTTGTTTGTTGTTTTATATTTACAGTAAGTAGGAAGTGAAAACAAAACAGAGACAAAATATGTATAAAAAAACAGATTTTCTGATTGACTCCACAGATTTGTGATAAACCCCGGTGTTAAAGTTACATTTGAGTGACTCGGTGTGGGTTGGACGTTGTGGCTCTACAGACGTCAGGAAATGGCGTCTGCATTAAAAATGATAAAACAGAACGCAGCTGTAAAATCTGTCCCAACTCCTCCACCGACTTCTACAAATATTTGCAGAATTATCATATTTAATAAAGTTCACGTTAGTTTTAACTCTGTTTGATGAGGCTGAACATGAATTGTTTTCCAAAAATCCAAAAATGTAATTGTGAAGTAAATACTGTAAATGTTTACTTAAAGTGTAAGTGTACACTTTTTTTTTTTTTTTGGGAGGAAATCGAGGTTCACAAAATGTCGTCTGTGAAGAAAATAAAAGTAGGCGTCAAATAAATCGTTCAGTTTAATCTGTTAAATGTGAAGTCTCCACAAACAATCTTCTATTCTACTGTAAACATCTACTGAATTAGACTTTTGTACATAAAAATGCTGCAGAAAGACTTTTTGTGAATAGTCGACTTATTCATCAAATTAATCTCCGTTGTTTACAGTTTTAGTTTTTAAAAAACGAAATCTTGTTGACGTGTTTATAAAATAAAAGTAGAGTTTGTGTGTTAGTTGTTGACGTGTTTATTAAATAAAAGTAGAGTTTGTGTGTTAGTTGTTGGCGTGTTTATTAAATAAAAGTAGTTTGTGTGTTAGTTGTTGACGTGTTTATTAAATAAAAGTAGAGTTTGTGTGTTAGTTGTTGACGTGTTTATTAAATAAAAGTAGTTTGTGTGTTAGTTGTTGATGTGTTTATTAAATAAAAGTAGAGTTTGTGTGTTAGTTGTTGACGTGTTTATTAAATAAAAGTAGAGTTTGTGTGTTAGTTGTTGATGTGTTTATTAAATAAAAGTAGAGTTTGTGTGTTAGTTGTTGACGTGTTTATTAAATAAAAGTAGAGTTTGTGTGTAGTTGTTGGTGTGTTTATTAAATAAAAGTAGAGTTTGTGTGTTAGTTGTTGACGTGTTTATTAAATAAAGTAGAGTTTGTGTGTTAGTTGTTTGCGTGTTTATTAAAATAAAAGTAGAGTTTGTGTGTTAGTTGTTGATGTGTTATAAAATAAAAGTAGAGTTTGTGTGTTTGTTGACGTGTTATTAAATAAAAGTAGAGTTTGTGTGTTAGTTGTTGATGAGTGTTTATTAAATAAAAGTAGAGTTTTGTGTGTTGTTGATGTTTGTTTTGTGTGTTAGTTGTTCGTGTTTATTAAATAAAAGTAGTTTGTGTGTTAGTTGTTGACGTGTTTATAAAATAAAAGTAGAGTTTGTGTGTTAGTTGTTGATGTGTTTATTAAATAAAAGTAGAGTTTGTGTGTTAGTTGTTGACGTGTTTATTAAATAAAAGTAGAGTTTGTGTGTTAGTTGTTGACGTGTTTATTAAATAAAAGTAGAGTTTGTGTGTTAGTTGTTGACGTGTTTATTAAATAAAAGTAGTTTGTGTGTTAGTTGTTCGTGTTTATTAAATAAAAGTAAGTTTGTGTGTTAGTTGTTGACGTGTTTATTAAATAAAAGTAGAGTTTGTGTGTTAGTTGTTGGCGTGTTTATTAAATAAAGTAGAGTTTGTGTGTTAGTTGTTGATGTGTTTATTAAATAAAAGTAGAGTTTGTGTGTTAGTTGTTGACGTGTTTATTAAATAAAAGTAGAGTTTGTGTGTTAGTTGTTGACGTGTTTATTAAATAAAAGTAGAGTTTGTGTGTTAGTTGTTGACGTGTTTATTAAATAAAAGTAGAGTTTGTGTTGTTAGTTGTTGTGTTTATTAAATAAAAGTAGAGTTTGTGTGTTTAGTTGTTGACGTGTTTATTAAATAAAAGTAGAGTTTGTGTAGTTGTGTTGAGTGTTATTAAATAAAAGTAGTTTGTGTGTTAGTTGTTGACGTGTTTATTAAATAAAAGTAGAGTTTGTGTGTTAGTTGTTGAGTGTTTATTAAAATAAAGTAGAGTTTGTGTGTTAGTTGTTGATGTGTTTATTAAATAAAAGTAGAGTTTGTGTGTTAGTTGTTTGACGTGTTTATTAAATAAAAGTAGTTTGTGTTAGTTGTGAGTGTTTTATAAATAAAAGTAGAGTTTGTTGTTAGTGTTGACTGTTTATTAAATAAAAGTAGAGTTTGTGTGTTAGTTGTTGAGTGTTTATTAAATAAAAGTAGAGTTTGTGTGTTAGTTGTTGATTGTGTTTATTAAATAAATAAAAGTAGAGTTTGTGTGTTAGTTGTTGACGTGTTTATTAAATAAAAGTAGAGTTTGTGTGTTGTTGTTGTGTTTTATTAAATAAAAGTAGAGTTTGTGTGTGTTAGTGTTGACGTGTTTATAAATAAAAGTAGAGTTTGTGTGTTGGTTGTTGTAGTTTTATTAAAAATAAAAGTAGAGTTTGTGTGTTAGTTGTTGACGTGTTTTATTAAATAAAAGTAGTTTGTGTGTTAGTTGTTGTGTGTTTTTAAATAAGTAGAGTTTGTGTGTTAGTTGTTGACGTGTTTATTAAATAAAAGTAGAGTTTGTGTGTTAGTTGTTGATGTGTTTATTAAATAAAAGTAGATTTTGTGTGTTAGTTGTTGATGTGTTTATTAAATAAAAGTAGAGTTTGTGTGTTAGTTGTTGACGTGTTTATTAAATAAAAGTAGAGTTTGTGTGTTGGTTGTTGATGTGTTTATTAAATAAAAGTAGAGTTTGTGTGTTAGGTTGTTGACGTGTTTATTAAATAAAAGTAGAGTTTGTGTGTTAGTTGTTGATGTGTTTATTAAATAAAAGTAGAGTTTGTGTGTTAGTTGTTGATGTGTTTATAATAAAAGTAGAGTTTGTGTGTTAGTTGTTGGACGTGTTTATTAAATAAAAGTAGAGTTTGTGTGTTAGTTGTTTGTGTTTATTAAATAAAAGTAGAGTTTGTGTGTTAGTTGTTGACGTGTTTATTAAATAAAAGTAGAGTTTGTGTGTTGTTGTTGACGTGTTTATTAAATAAAAGTAGAGTTTGTGTGTTTGTTTTTGATGTGTTTATTAAATAAAAGTAGAGTTTGTGTGTTAGTTGTTGATGTGTTTATAATAAAAGTAGAGTTTGTGTGTTAGTTGTTGACGTGTTTATTAAATAAAAGTAGAGTTTGTGTGTTAGTTGTTGACGTGTTTATTAAATAAAAGTAGAGTTTGTGTGTTAGTTGTTGATGTGTTTATTAAATAAAAGTAGAGTTTGTGTGTTAGGTTGTTGACGTGTTTATTAAATAAAAGTAGAGTTTGTGTGTTAGTTGTTGATGTGTTTATTAAATAAAAGTAGAGTTTGCGTGTTGGTTGTTGATGTGTTTATAATAAAAGTAGAGTTTGTGTGTTAGTTGTTGGTGTGTTTATTAAATAAAAGTAGAGTTTGTGTGTTAGTTGTTGACATGTTTATTAAATAAAAGTAGAGTTTGTGTGTTAGTTGTTGACGTGTTTATTAAATAAAAGTAGAGTTTGTGTGTTGGTTGTTGACGTGTTTATTAAATAAAAGTAGAGTTTGTGTGTTAGTTGTTGATGTGTTTATTAAATAAAAGTAGAGTTTGTGTGTTAGTTGTTGGTGTGTTTTAGTTTGTAGAGTTTGTGTGTTTGTGTGTGTATTGTTTTATTAAATAAAAGTGAGTTTGTGTGTTAGTTGTNAAAAGTAGAGTTGTGTGTTAGTTGTTGACGTGTTTATTAAATAAAAGTAGAGTTTGTGTGTTAGTTGTTGAACTGTTTATTAAATAAAAGTAGATTTGTGTGTAGTAGTTGTTGACGTGTTTATTAAATAAAAGTAGAGTTTTGTGTTTAGTTTGACGTGTTTATTAAATAAAGTAGAGTTTGTGTGTAGTGTTGAGTTGTTGGTTATTAAATAAAGTAGAGTTTGTGTGTTAGTTGTTGATGTGTTTAGTAAAATAAAAGTAGAGTTTGTGGTAGTTGTTGATGTGTTTATTAAATAAAAGTAGAGTTTTGTGTTTTGTTGTTGTTGATTGTTAGTTAAAATAAAAGTAGAGTTTGTGTGTTAGTTGTTGAGTGTTTATTAAAAAAAGTAGAGTTTGTGTGTGTTTGTTGACGTGTTTATTAAATAAAAGTAGAGTTTGTGTGTTAGTTTGTGTGTTGTGTTTTATTAAAATAAAAGTAGAGTTTGTGTTTAGTTGTTGGTGTGTTTATTAAATAAAAGTAGAGTTTGTGTTTAGTTGTTGACGTTTATTAAATAAAAGTAGAGTTTGTGTGTTAGTTGTTGTGTGTTTATTAAAAAAAGTAGTTTGTGTGTTTAGTTGTTGGTGTGTTTATTAAATAAAAGTAGAGTTTGCGTGTTGGTTTGTTGACGTGTTTATTAAATAAAAGTAGAGTTTGTGGTTGTTGTGTGTTTATGTGTTTAGTTAAAATAAAAGTAGAGTTTGTGTGTTAGTTGTTGATGTGTTTTATTAATAAAAGTAGAGTTTGGTGTTTAGTGTTGACGTGTTTATTAAATAAAAGTAGAAGTTTGTGTGTTAGTTGTTGACGTGTTTATTAAATAAAAGTAGAGTTTGCGTGTTTGTTTTGACGTGTGTTATTAAAGTAGAGTAAAGTAGAGTTTGTGTGTTAGTTGTTGACATGTTTATTAAATAAAAGTAGAGTTTGTGTGTTAGTTGTTGACGTGTTTATTAAATAAAAGTAGAGTTTGTGTGTTAGTTGTTGGCGAGGGCCAGAGCTTCCCTCCGGAGTCGGGGCTCGTGGTTGAACCTGCCCAACATGGCGCTGGTGACGGTGCTGGCGTTGATCTTCTGCACTCCTCTCATCACCATGCACATGTGTCTGCACAAACATCACTCCAGTGTTAGTGTCAAACTCAAACATGTTCAGAACATTGAAATGCAGAGAGTGAAACTACTGACGCCGCCTGGACGAGCACAGCGACCCCTGCTGGCTCCAGAGCCTCAGCGACGGCCTCAGCGATCTGACTGGTGAGACGCTCCTGCACTGTGGACACACACAGACCAGGACTAAACCAGGACTACCACTAAACAGGATAAACTAAACCAGACTAAACCAGACTACCAGGACTAAAGGTAAACCAGGACTAAAACCAGGACTAAAACAGAAGGTCTAAACAGGAAACCAGACTAAACAGGACTAAAACAGGGCTGACTAAACCAGGACTAAAACAGGGCTGAACCAGGACCAGGACTAAACAATAGAACCAGACTAAACCAGAACCAGGTCCAGGACTAAACTAGGACTAAACTAAAGGACTGAACCAGGACTGAACCAGTTCTAAACCAGGAACCAGGTCTAAACCAGGTCTAAACAGGATTAAATCAGGACTAAACCAGGTCTAAACCAGGTCTAAACCAGGCTAAAAGGACTAAAGGACTCCAGGACTAAACCAGACTAAACCAGATAACCAGGACTAAAACTAGACTAAATCCTAAACCAGTGAACCAGACTAAACCAGTTAAACCAGTCTAACCAGGTCTAAACCAGGACTAAACCAGGACTAAACAGGATTAAATCAGAAACCAGGGACTAAACCAGGATTAATCAGGACTAAACCAGGACTAAACCAGGAAACCTAAACTAGGACTAAAACGGAGGAAACCAGGTCTAAACCAGGTCTAAACCAGGTCTAAAACAGGAACTAACCAGGTTAAACCAGGATAAAACCAGGTCTAAACCAGGTCTAAACCAGGACTAAACCAGGACCAGGATTAAACCAGGATAAAACCATCTAACCAGGTCTAAACCAGGAACTAAACTAGGACAGGATTAACCAGGATTAAACCAGGAAACAGGTTAAACCAGGTAAAACTAACCAGGACTAACTAGGACTAAATCAGGAAACCAGGTTAAACCAGGTCTAAACCAGGACAAACCAGGACTGAACCAGGTAAACCAGAAACAGGTAAACCAGGACTAAACCAGGACTAAACCAGGATTAAACAGGATTAAACCAGGACTAAACCAGTAAAACCAGGACTCAGGACAGTTCTAAACCAGACTGAACCAGGATTTAAATCAGGACTAAACAGGTCTAAACCAGGACTAAACTAGGACTAAATCAATTAAAAACCAGGACTGAACCAGATTAAATCAGTTCTAAACCAGGACTGAACCAGGATTAAATCAGGACTAAACCAGGTCTAAAACCAGGACTAAAACCAGGTCTAAACCAGGTCTAAACCAGGACTAAACAAACAGACTAAACCAGGACTAAACCAGGATTAAAGACCAGTTAAACCAGGACTAAACCAGGTCTAAACCAGGACTAAACCAGTCTAAACCAGGGTCTAAACCAGGACTCCAGGAACTAAACCAGGTCTAAAACCAGGAAAACTAAACCAGGACTAAACCAGGACTAAACCAGGACTAAACCAGGACTAAACCAGGACTAAAACCAGACTGAACCAGGATTAAATCAGGAAACCAGGACTAAACCAGGTTAAATCAGGACTAAACCAGGTCTAAACCAGGAGTAAACCAGGACTGAACCAGGATTAAATCAGTTCTAAACCAGGACTGAACCAGGATTAAAATCAGGGACTAAACCAGGTCTAAACCAGGACTAAACCAGGAGTAAACTAAACCACCAGGTAAACTAAACCAGACCAGGACTAAACCAGGACTAAACCAGGTCTAAACCAGGACTAAACCAGGACTAAACTAGGACTAAACCAGGACTGAACCAGGATTAAATCAGGACTAAACCAGGTCTAAACCAGGACTAAACCAGGACTGAACCAGGATTAAATCAGTTCTAAACCAGGACTGAACCAGGATTAAATCAGGACTAAACCAGGTCTAAACCAGGTCTAAACCAGGACTAAACCAGGATTAAATCAGTTCTAAACCAGGACTGAACCAGGATTAAATCAGGACTAAACCAGGTCTAAACCAGGACTAAACCAAACCAGGACTTACTAAACCAGGACTAAACCAGGGTCTAAACCAGGTCTAAACTAAACCAGGATAAACCTAGGACTAACACCAGGATTAAACCAGGTCTAAACCAGGACTAAACCAGGTCTAAACCAGGACTAAACTAGGACTAAACCAGGATTAAACCAGGATTAAACCAGGTCTAAACCAGGTCTAAACCAGGACTAAACCAGGACTAAACCAGGACTAAACCAGGTCTAAACCAGGACTAAACCAGGTAAACTCTAAACCAGGTCTAAACCAGACTAAACCAGGACTAAACCAGGAAACCAGGTCTAAACAGGTCTAAACCAGGTCTAAACCAGGGACTAAACCAGGAAACCAGGTTAAACCAGGATAACCAGAAACTAAACCAGGACTAAACAAACAGGTCTAAACCAGGAAACAGGACTAAACCAGGACTGAACCAGGTCTAAACCAGGTCTAAACCAGGACTAAACTAGGACTAAACCAGGACTAAACTAGGACTAAATCAGTTCTAAACCAGGACTGAACCAGATCCGGACCTAGTCTCAGACTGAGACCAGGACTTAGACCAGTACCAGACAAGGACAGGGACTGAGACTGGGACTAAACCAGGACCAGGACCGAGAGAAGGACTGAGATCAGGACTGGGACTGGGACTGAGACTGGGAACAGGACCAGGACTGAAAACAATTTAGTCCTGGTTCAGTCCTGGTTTAGTCCTGATTTAGTCCTGGTTTAGACCTGGTTCAGTCCTGGTTCAGTCCTGGTTTAGACCTGGTTTAGTCCTGGTTCAGTCCTGGTTTAGTCCTGATTTAGTCCTGATTAGTCCTGGTTCAGACCTGGTTCAGTCCTGGTTTAGACCTGGTTTAGTCCTGGTTCAGTCCTGGTTTAGTCCTTGGGTTTAGTGGTTTAGTCCTGGTTCAGTCCTGGTTTAGACCTGGTTTAGTCCTGGTTCAGTCCTGGTTTAGTTTATGGTTTAGTCCTGGTTTAGTCCTGGTTCAGTCCTGGTTTAGACCTGGTTTAGTCCTGGTTTAGACCTGGTTCAGTCCCTGGTTAGACTGGTTTAGTCCTGGTTCAGTCAGTCTGGTTTAGTCCTGGTTTAGTCCTGGTTCAGTCCTGGTTTAGACCTGGTTTAGTCTGGTTTAGTCCTGGTTTAGACCTGGTTTAGTCCTGGTTCCTGGTTCAGTCCTGGTTTTAGTCCTGGTTCAGTCCTGGTTTAGACCTGGTTTAGTCCTGGTTCAGTCCTGGTTTAGACCTGGTTAGTCCTGGTTTAGACCTGGTTTAGTCCTGGTTTCAGTCCTGGTTTAGACTGGTTTAGTCCTGGTTCAGTCCTGGTTTACCTGGTTTAGTCCTGGTTCAGTTGGTTTAGACCTGGTTTAGTCCTGGTTTAGTCCTGGTTCAGTCTGGTTTAGACCCTGGTTTCAGTCCTGGTTTAGTCCTGGTTTAGACCTGGTTTAGTCCTGGTTCAGTCCTGGTTTAGACCTGGTTGAGTCCTGGTTTAGACCTGGTTTAGTCCTGGTTCAGTCCGTTATCCGTTTTTTTCCATTTTTCATTTCAACACAAAATCAAAAACTGAAAAATCGATTCTTTATCTGTTTTTTCATTTTGGTTTTGGAGACAAATAATGACGTTGAATTTAATTTAATTAATTTTTGGTTTTATATTGATCGGAGAGTTTTACCTTGGAGCCGTCGACTGAACACCTCCACGATTCTGAAAGAAAAGAGTGAAACGGTGCGTGAGCGTTTCCTCTCGCCTTTCGTCCGGGGGAATATTCAAAGTGTTGGACAAACCTGGCGAGTTTACTGAGACCGACCACCTTCTTGTTGGGGATGTAGGCGATGTGCACCTGCCAACGACAAACACACTGGGCTTTTCTACTCCACAAATACATTTACATTTGTTCAAGTGTTTGTGTAGAAGTTACTTTTCCAAAGAACGGCACCAGGTGATGTTCACAGAGGGAGAAGAGCTCGATGTCTCTGACCAGAACCATCTCCTCATGGTTTTCATCAAATATGGCGTCGTTTAAGACGTCTGAGAGAAGAACACACGTCCGTCAAACTGCACCACTCAACTTTATCACTTCTCATGCTCCAGAAAGTTTAGTTTTAGTTTATTTATTTATTTAACGAGACGGGGGCAGAGCTCAGTCTACAACATGAACCTGAACAGGAGAGATGTTTGTTCCAGGTTGGAGCCGCAGACTCATGTCCACCTGTCGTCTGTGGGCAGGTTCATGTTACACTTCATCAAATCAAACGCACAAAGAGAAAGTTTTTATAATGTCCAGAGCGTCAGAACTATTCTGTCTCATCGTTCACTCCCAGTTCTCTCAGGAACATAAAAACATCCTCCTCAGAATCATCATCAGTTCATTCAGTCCAGAACATCAGACTCTGTCCAGGTTCTCCTCAGTCACATGACGCAGGTTTGGTTTGAGAGGAGCCGGTTTCTCCACACGAGAGACAGAAAGTGTCACAGTGTCACAGGACATCAGCTCTGACTAAAGACAAATCATTCTGAATTTATAGTTGAACACAAACTCTGTAGATCAGAGTGTCAAATATCCGGCGCGGGGGCCAGATCCGGCCCTCCAAGACCTTTAATCTGGCCCTCGTCTGATTTTCTACTCAAATATTTGAATGATATTTTCTATTAAAATCTTGTAAATTTTGTGTGGTGTTTATCACAGCAGCGTCTCCAGCGTCTCTGTACGTGGCCCCTCCCACCAGAGCAGCACAAATGAAGACTTGTCTCTTTCCAAACGCTCTTAAAGGACGAT